AGCCCTCCCACCAACGCTCCCCGCAGCGGGCTCGTACCCTGCTTTAAAACGAAATAAAATAAAAAAGAAAACCCCACAGCAACAAGCAGAACTAGAGCCTAAACAGGGCGTTGGAGACCCAAACTGATGAATCGCGGCAGAGACGTTCGTTAGCAATAGGAAGTGAAACAGTCCAAGTTGTGCTATTTTTCTTTTTTAATCTTTGTTCTCTTCAAAGCAAGGCAGCAGTGGATCCGGGCTCTATATCCTTTAGTATGAATATGTTCCATATTTGATGCCCAGCTACATCGTAAACCTTGTAAGGAAAGCCCCACAGGGCAGCCCGTCAGGATTTAATTCTCACTCTGGACAGCTTAAATGTCTCTTCATCCAAATGTCCTTTGAGTTTCTGCGGCACATCCTATACCACTCTCAACTCCTGACATCTACTGCTAGACTTGATGTAGATAGTCAGTTAAAAGCAGATTTTTAAATAATACTGTTATGGCAAGAACTCAGTTCTGCTTTCCTGAAATGGAATTTCCAAATTCCACATTTTCCAAAGATAGAGTCAGTTCAAATAGAAAATGTTCCTCTCAGACACCAAACCACCAGTTCTCAACTCTTCTTAAACTTTGATTCTCCTTTTGCCCTTCATTAAAGCTTCCAGACATCACTTCCACCTCATGCTTTTTGATGCCGTACAGGCTGGCCAGTTTTCTGTCTGCAGCACTGGACTTGTGAGCCAGGTTGTCCTGTGGGACTGCAACACCGAATGTACCGCAGCTCTGCCACTGGCACTGGCACCAGGCATTGCCCTCCCTTTGCGTTGTCCCCCCCTCTCCCTCACCTCAGTGTCACAAGCCATACCCTTCCATCCACCCCGTTTTTCACTGCTGGGTACAAGCCTGCTGTCGCTTCTAAAAGGCCCGCTTGTGCCTTACTCTGTCAGCTTTTATAGACATCATTCCTTGACAGCCACCCTGCCCTTAACTGCCTCTCTGTCCTTTCCTGCGACTACAATTTTCATGTTCATGCAAGACAACACCATGCTAAAAAAAATTCCTGCAAAACTTTGTCACAATCCACTTGTGCTGTGTGGGCTGCAGAATGCCACAATACATGTCAACTTCCGTTAGGCAAGATTACAGCTCATTTCTGTACAGCCAAATATTTTTTTTTCCTTATTTGTTCATTTCTGTCAGTCAGGATATGGACCGACTGTCTTGGAACAAAGTGCAGTGCAGTGTTTACCCACACGGCTTACACTAGGGGTGCCAGGTGCCAGTGCAGTGTAAAAAGTAGCTTTTTATCCCTATCATACTCCCTTCACCAGCTCTGTCCTCTTGATGGTTCATATAAGCGCGAGATCTCATAGCTGTGTCATGCAAGAAGTCACCGGCAGTTAAATCCTTCTATGGTAGCAGCAAGTCAGAACCTGTTTATTCTTGGCATTTGGCACAAGTCCACACACAGAGCAACATATTTTCTTACACCATTCTGAATCTGGCTGTGGTACCAAAAGTTGTTTTGACGGCTGAACCTGACAAATGCAACTGAGACTCCCCAGATGAACATGCACATTTGGTGAGAGCTAGAACTGGTTGGCTGGTACTCAGCAGGCCAAGCCATGGGAGTTTTATGCACTTAGGAAGCTGGCTTGTTTTAACTAGAGGATTCAAAGAAGTTCTCTTTGGCTATTACTCATCCTGTCTGTCTAGGCTCAGCATCTGGGCAGCAGTCCTGTCAGGTCTGTGCTCTGTGCTATGTGCTCCGCCCCACAGACTGAGGAACTACCCTTTCTGGGCCACAACCCTACCCTGTGCTGCAGTTCCTATTAGCAAGAAACAAGCCAGTGATGGTGCGGGTAGGAGGCAGCAAATGCAGAGATGCCTCCTCCGTGCAAAGGCAGGGCTCCGTTAACCCACTGAGACTCGTGGAAGCAGCACGCGTTAACAGCCGCTGGTGTATTCCTGTCAGCTGAACTAAACCCAGGTGAGACGCTGCCAGCAAACGTGCCATGCCTGCAACCCAGACAGGACTGTTTACAGACAACTGATGTGAGAGCTTTCAGTTTTCCCTGGAAAGATTTCCAAGTATTTACTACAAAATGCCTTTGAATTTATTTATTTATCCAAATATCCTTTAATGGTGGATGCTGCCGCATCCATGAACAGCTTTGGAGGTTTTGCCAGAGCTTTCCCAGAAAGCTACATCAGAAGGGGCATTAATAGTGAACCAAGATGTCAGAAAGGTATAAATTGCAAAACATTTTATTATCCTGATCAGCTCAAACCCATTTCTATACATGTAACAAAAAGAAGCTTATTAACCCACTGAATAGCAAACAGCAACAAAGGCTATTAAAGAATTGAATATGGAAATAATATTAATTGTTGACTAGATCTACCGATACTGATTTTAGGAAGAAAGCAATAAAGCTGCTTTCGATATCTTACTTCTCTCATGTATCTCCCAGAGAACATCAAGTGGCCAAAAGAAAATACATGCTTGTTTGTATTTGCAAGCATGCATGGGAATGGTCTGCATTTTGAGATGTACATATTTTAAGCCTATTGTAATGGAAGCAAATTCATAAATCATGAGATTCTGCAAATAATTGAAATACGGATTTCTGCAAGACTTAGTAATTTTAGCGTCTGGCAAGATCAGAAAAATGAAATTCAACATAATTCTGGTAGGCGGACAGCTTAATAAATGCATGCCTGGACCTACCTGAAATATTCCACTCCAAGGAGATTCAAAGACAACGATAATGACTACAAAAGAGCTGCATAGTGACAGAGATTTAGGTAAAAGGTCAGGGGGTTTTTTAAGGTTTGTCACTGTGGTCTCTATTTGAACAAAGGCTGCACAATAAATCACTTCTGGTTTTGAACACAGCCTGCAACGATAAAATGTAAAGACAAACTTAGACCTAGACGTTAATACCTGGGTTGCATGGCTGGAGGGACGGCAGTTTAACCTACGGTTTAAACCAAACAGTGAGCGACCTGACACGAGAGCAAGCTACTCAAGTAATGTAATCATGCATAAAATTCAGCATGATTTTCAGTTTCAGATATACTAAAGAATCAATAGTCTATCCTGTTCTTGTACAAGGCCATATTGCAAAATTCCAGGGATGACTCATCTACTAACGTGTATATTTTTCTTGCATTTCAGTCCTCTGGACTGATGCACATTTGCCAAATTGTTATTCCATTGGAATATACAGCCTGTGCTAGCTGGAAGGGTGCTCTCCTTCGATGGAAGTTTGAAAAATTCTGCACCTGTAGTTTGTTGAATTTGCTGTATCTCAGTGTATTGCTTGTGGCCATATTTAGTCATGATTAACATTCAGGTAGCAACTGCTATTGACTTAAAATACAGTTATGAAATACTTCGTATTTTAGAATAAAATTTAGTAGCTGAATAATCAAACCAAGACTGCCAACAGTTCTTCTTCAGACCTTTGCAGGCAGAACTAGCAGTATGAGCCGTTACTCAATCCACATGTCTTTTGCCTTTGCATGCATGTTGTGGAGCCAGTATGTAGCAAGGGACTGAGCCATTCAGACTAATGAGCTCTATGAGCCCAGTACGCTTTACAAGCAGTCTTCTGTTACCAAAAATCCTCAAGAAAACCAGCTGGACCACCTGTTTCACTATACACTTAATTGGAAAATATCTGCTTGGAAGATTCTTATTCTGTAAGTTTCAATAAATGCTACATTTTTAGTTTACCGTATCCTTTTTACCTCTTCTGCCTGAATTTCCTTTTAAAATGCTTTCTTTCACATTGCCTGGGTAATAGCACAAAACACAGTGTGGATCCAGCATAAGCATACTTTAGCCTTGTGATAGCAGCAAATAAAATTCACTCACTCTATACTGTAAAATCCACTTTTTTCATTATTACTGACAAATAAGCTATATAGAACTTTAAACTTCCTGGGACGCAGATCATGCTTTTGGTTGGGCAGGGAGGCTAGCTCAGACTCCTCTCCTATACCTTTTTAATTAGGTAACAAACTGCAACTTTATGAAAAACCTATTGGGGTGCTTACCTAAATAACCGATTTCACAGGTAACATTCTCCTTGGTTGTATCCATGTAATTCTACCTCAAAAGGTATAGCAGAAGAAATTACAGTTCCAGCCCATAGTCACAAAGCAGTAGAAGATGAACACACTCCAATTCTATAAACTGTTCCCTTGTTCTTCCCTGCAAAAAAAAAAAAAAAGAAAAAAAAAGAAAAAAACCTTCTTTGCAAGTGAGAACATTTTGCATTAACATCAGACAAAGGAGGAAGCTGCACATCACTGGAACAGAGCTTCCTCTTCTAGCTGAGATTTATTCAAGCACGGAACAGTTCGTGGAGGTCAAGAGAAGTGAGGCATTATAGTTACTATGCACCAAAGATACTATTTTGCTAACCAACTTAACTGCTTTTGCCTTTACCATTTTTTCAGCTCAAGCTCACTTTTACTGGTGTACCTGATAACTGGATTTCTTGCATTTTCAGACTCTGGATGCTTCTGCCACAATTATAGCAGAAAGGGGCTGTGAAATCTGTGTGGATTTTGGAAGAAAACTATAGAATTAAATGTGTGTTTAACCTGTGTTTTGACCTTTCTACCACAATGAAACATTCCCCAGAAGAACCATTAGTTGACCACTGCAGTCTTCACTTTTATACACCAGAGCCCTCTTAATTAAGAAGACAGCATAACAGATAAGGAGCCATTTATTATGAATAATGGAAAATAGACAAGCATCAACAGCACAAAAATGGGGGCCTTTCTCTATGAGGCCTTTTTCTTCCCAGCCTCACTACCTCCAGAATGAGAGAAGGCTATTCTGCAAGTGAACACAGTATTTTAATCACTACAGAGAATGTTAAAATTAGCGTTAACTAAAAGCTTGAATATACATAGATTTAAAATTAAGAATAATCTAATTTAGTATTGAGAATGTCTTTACTTCCCGGAAGAGCATCCTGTACAAACAAAATTTACTGTCACTCTCAATGCTTCCAGTAAGGCAAAGTGCAAGATGTATTCACCCTTTTGGTAAGGGTAAGTACATGAACTCCCTATAGCCATGCATGAATGTTAGCACTTGGAAACAAATTCTGCCAGCAACAAGACAAAACTTTTGTCATTTTGAAGCTCTTAGTTATACTAACCCCAGGATGCTGATGTTTATGACAGTTATTGTGCAAGTGCAAATATTTGGAAGTACTTAAAGTTAGGAAGCAATTTAGATAGGAAATTGGGATTAAAAATACATATATACTATCACTGAAAGGTACCCACCTTAGGCAGAGGGTAGCTTCCACTCCAGCAACAAGAAGACAAATGCAGAACGTGGCCAGAGTCATTCTTTTCCTGGGCATCTTCTGTTGCATTTTAATCAGCTACTGATAAGGGAGTCTGTAAAAACCTTGGCCAATCAAACGTCTGCTTTTAATGAAACAAAACAAAAAAAATCCATGAACGTGGAGCAAAGAAATTTAAAGAGTGGGAAGGATAGTCTATCAGTTATATTGGTAATCTGGGAGATGAAGAGTTGGGAAGAATTCCCTGCTCCGCTACCAATTTCCTTTGCTAAAGCAAAGGGACCTCAAGTCCCTACCTCTAAAGCAAATGGTACCATTGATCCTTAAAAGGGAGAAAGAAGACAATAAACATTGAAACTCTGAAACGCCTATACAGTTCTACTTAACAACCCATTTTTATTAATTAATGCACAAGATGTTTTCAGGCTTCAGCACTTGGTTCTTTGGGCTCTGTTTTTCATACAGTATTCTTAACAAACTTTGCAACCATTGTAATAAAACCACTATATGAATAATTTATATTTATTAATTACTTAGCAATACTAAACTAAAAAGTAGACATATTCCTATTTTACACTCCTGTTCTAGCTATTAATTCCATTCATAATCTCCTTCCATCCACTCTTCATGCTTCCAGTAATCTTACCTGGTCTGAAGATAGTCTCAAAAGCTCTTCCATATAAAATTAAAAGGCCTATGAACAAAATCTGGCCTTTCTTTCTTGCCTGGAATCATGCTGGCATTTGCACTCTTTACACACTTTTGATACAGCATAATAAGACAGAATCTCAGGCTGCTAATAAAAGAATTTTATTCTCATGGCTTTAGTAGCTACTTTTACTTAAGACAAGTTCAGCACCAGTGAAAGAACTATTATCTCCTTGTTCTTATGAGCCAGCAAACAGCAAAGTCTGTACTTCAAAGTAGCTTTTCAGATGCTTTTCATTAATAGTCAATATTTAGTTTTTAATCATGTTTCCTTGTTATGTAACACTGAGTCTAGAACAATTGCAGGAGTTTAACCAGCTTCATCAAAGTCATGGAAGTACTGCAGTCACTCAATTTGCTGAACTGTAAACAAAAGATTTTCTTTACTTCACAACAAGGCTTATGTCAATAGAATGTTTTCTGACTTAGTTCATTAAGATGCTTCCTTCAGAAAGAATTAAAAAGTACAGAATAAGGATGGTGTAAATCAGCAAAGTGATTAATCTGTCCCCAAAAGCCAAATATATCTCAAGCCACCTGTGGTTTCAGTGCCTCCATTCCCTCTCCCCCTTTTCTCCTCCTCTGAGAAGTTCATAGTGTAGTCCAAACAGAAAAACAAACCAGTTATACACAGCAAGAAATTAAGATTAGAAAAATCCAGCACTGTAGCAAGAGTGCAACAAGAAGTTACCAGACTCCACAGGTCAGAGGCATTCATCCCTTTCGTCCACTCACCTGTTTCCAGCAACAGCCTGCTTGATATTTCCTTGTCTGCTTCAAAGCCCAGATTTTCCTTGAGCTTCTGTGGAAATTAAATTCCACACTAGAGTACCTGTGTATATTATAAGAATGATGGTAGTATAATTTGCCAGTGGAGGCAAATACTGTATTATTTGATAACACTACAGCCCACAGATGCCTGTAGTTACACTGTCTTAACCTATTTTGCTTTCCATATGGGACTAATCCTTATATATTGTATAACTGCATTCACATGAAGGGATTTGCCACGTGAACTGTATCAGTATAGGTCGTGTTGCTTATGCTCACTACAGCCCTTCTGCAGGTTACAATGATATCCATTGCTCCGTTAAGCTCTACAGCAATTTGCTACAAAATACCCACTCGTCATGTGTACGTATTTTCTTTCTTTTTGTGCACTGTACTAATTTTGTACTAGCAAAGGCGCTAGAACACATCATGTACAAATATGAGTATATCTATCTCAAAGAACTGCCAGTTGACTCTTCTAGAGGATTCCAGAAAAAATTAACTTTGTTGCAGACTACTTTATCTACCTCCTAACCAAGAATTATCAATCAGCCACAATTTGAGGTAAGTGGTATCAATGATGATACATTTTGCAAAATGTGAGCAAAAGTGAAGAATTTACCAGTTTAAAATGCGAAACCATTTTTATAAAGTGTCATTTTTTTATTTTAAACCAAGTATGCCTGTCCTTTTAAAAACAGCCCAATATAAAATAAAATGTGAAATAAGGGCAGCTATAGTGAATTCTAGAATCACTAAGTATAAAATATACAAGCAGTCCAGGCCTGCTGCAGAAATTTCAGAGAAAGTCAAAACACCAAGCTGGTGGGTGTTACTGAGTAAGGGGCTAGAAATAGTGTGTTGAGTGCTGAACCAGCTTTTTACAACACTAGCTTCAGCTGCAGGTGCAGAAAGAAAGTGAATTCTTCATTTCAGTTCATTCAACAAGTTCATTTTGATTACTGTTTCATTCAGGGATGAGAACTAAACTAGGATTTCAAAAAGGAAGCCAGCTTGGTTTTCCCTTTTCCAAACTATTAGCAAAATCAAGATGCAGGATGATCAGCAATAACTTGTGGGAGGATAAGATCTGGTAGTATTAATATCTTGGAAGTTGGGGGAGCTAAAACCAAATTTTCATCTCTCATTAATGATTCCTTTGTGCATTTTAACTGAATTCGATCTAAATGTAACTTAACAGAAATAATCAGTTAAAAGCTCACAGCATCTAATAAACAAAAGATCTCAAACAGTACTTAATGACTTAAAAAAACAAAATCAGAAGTTTGAATAGAGGTATGTTGACACATCTTAAATCAATGACTACTCCTGTCCTTCTGACTGACATAAAGCAAGGTCCTGCCAAGAACAAGGAATCTGCTTTTATTTAAGAAAAGAATTAGGAATTATAAATGTCAAATAAGCTTAAAAGAAATAATGTAAATTAAGATTTCCTGCTTGCCATTTTAAATCATGAATTGATTATTTAAATCTCTGGCTTAAGCCAACAATAGGAAAAGGAAGTAGTGAAAACAGTATTTTAACTTCTGGCATCAAATTTATATACAAATAACCGTTCTCAAATATATGTCCTTGTTTTCTTCAAGTAAGAATACTGATGTTTATTTTCTTCCAGTAACATGCCAGCATTTCAGAAAAGGCAAATCAATTACTACCTGCCTCATATTTCACATCCTTGTATTTGTTCCAAGGATTGAAAACTGACACAGCGCTGGATCTCATGACTGCTTTCCATCAGGTATTTTAAACTGATTGTCAATTAGGTCAGGCTTTGCAGGTAGCAAAGCAAAAATGTCTCACACTCAGTTCTTTAGAAATATGAGCTAGAAAATTGCAATTTTCATTTTAGTTTAACCCTTGCCATAACTATTTTGGCATTCAAGCCCGTCTTTCACCATTACTTTAATTGCTGCTGCTTTCATTTGCTGCTTTATTTTGAAGTCAACTGTTTCTCACTAATAATGAGGGAAGAATTCCAATCTATTCTGAAGAAATTATGTCCATGTTGTGTAAAGTGAACACCTCTCAGTTGAGCATTTTACCCTGATCTTAACATTAATGACTAGGCAAAGTCTCAGTTTCCCAGCTGAGAATGCTATCTGTTTAAGTAATAGTTTAAGCTTGTACAAATAAAGTTTAGAACAAGGTTATTCTGGTTTACCCAGGTCTTAAACAGCACCTTCCTGCCAAAAGTCTGAGTCAAAACCACCATAAGAATCCATAAGGATTTCCTTCAGTTCCAGAGACTGTTTTACCATGACCATTCCTGTCAAGGTTGATTCATACCAGAAATCTTATCCAAAAGTCACGTCAAAACACTTTGTTTAGGTGTCACCCTTCAGTGACCAGCTCTGTCTACATCTACATATCTTCTCCCTGACTCAAGCAATCGTTTTCCACACTTCATGCCACAACCAAAACCTTTATCTGTGGCCAGTGAACTGGATGGAATACCGCTGGATTTATTAAGGAATGACAGACAGACATGCAGAGAGGTTTGAACATTAAAGCCATTGTGGTTTCATATATCAGGGAATGGCAGTCAGGACCAGCTCCTATTTCTGGCTCCAGTACAGGCTTCCTCTGGCATCTTGGGCAAGACATTTTAGCACCATGGACTGACACACGTGTCCATCCCAACTATTTAGACTCTTACAGAAGAATGGAGATTCTTATCTCTACAGAAGATCATCAAGGATTAGTGTTAACCCAGCGGGACACTGATCTTAGTCAGGGAATCTAAACATTACTACAATACAAGTAAATATAAACATTTTCATCATACTCTGCACAGAGGTATGTTATTACAAGATGTGTTGTAGCAGCTGCAGCAATTCCTGTACCAGGTTTCTCTCTGTTTGCCATGCTACTGATTCACTGGTCCATTTTTTTCCAGGAAATCCCCCTTGTTCACACTCAGACATACCCTTCCCAGTGAAATGTGAGCCCAACAACATTTGAGTAACAGTTAAACTTCTGAAAGTGTTATGTAGGAGTAGCCTTGAACTGATGCAAAGTACTTCTGGCCAGACTGATGTGTTCAGCCCAGGTTTAGTCCCCTACTTTATTTGTAGGTCATACCTAATTGGAAACAAAACACCTTTTAGTCCCTGTTATGCTCTTATTCAAGCCAGCAGGGAGCTATGAACTGAAGGCAAAATACAGTGAATTGCTACCTCCTTTTTCCCAAATTCTCTCTTAACAAGCAATTTTCAGAGCATTTGCCTTTATGATACACATCCATGGTAGTAGCCAAATGTTACTTTTGCGTACAACGTATGAAGAAATAATGAGGATTTTACTTCTCACAAGCAAACTCAGCCAAGGCTCATTCAAAGAGAGACTCCTTACAGCAAACTACTTACGTATCAGTGAATGCAAGGCAAAAACAAGTGTAAGGGGGTAGACTGGTATACCACAGCCCAGCAAACTGATACCTTTTCCTGGTGACAGTTTGGATCCAGAATATAAGCCCTTAAAAATACTTAGCCCTTACTGTTAAGAAAACAACTTGTTTGCTAGACACAAACTGCAAGGAACTCAAGCCTGCAAATGTTATAATACACATATAAATGGTCCCTGTTTGCCTAGCAGGAACTTTTTTTAAGCCCCAAAACTGATACCTCTCATTGCTACCATTTAAAATGTCTCTTCATGACTCCAGCATGTAAAATTAGATGAACATTGCAGAACATGTTACAGGGAGCTATGTCTATCTTACCACCAGCTTTTTGTTTTTGCCAAGAAGCTGAAGTAGGGGAGCAGATGTTGCTAACTGTGAATCCAGCTGGAAGACCCTCTACTGAACAGAAACTATCTACTAGTGTAATCTGTGATTTGTGTCATGAATGAGGAATTGGGGGAGAAAGCCAAACGAAAGACATCATATTCAAGCAAAGTAACAGGCTGAATGTGAAACCTTGATCCCTTTTAAGGTGACAGGAAACATCCAGGATTTCCTATTCTAACCACAAGATGTATGATTATGATAATATACCCTTGCCAAGGGGAAAGATTAATGCAGTAAGGACCACAGCAAATGGCTGTAAGATCTGAACAGTCATTATACAAGAAATAGTCTCAGGAAAAAGAAACTAATCTAAATTCTCATCGCCCTTCCATTTAATGCAGAGATGGGAGAGACTGTTGCAGAGAGGCTGCATGCCAGAGACAGTAAAACAAATTTAAGAAAACAATCTCTCCTATCTTGAGATATTTTCCTAAAATGTACTGCATCTCACCTCAGCAAACAGTAGGAGAAGGCATTTGTGCATAGGGAGTACAGAAAGATATTAACAGAACAGAACAGAATCACTTCATCTAGCCAGGGAAAGGCTTTTATCTCCTTGCCTGTTGTGTTTAAGGGCAAGCAACATGAACTGTGAGCCAACAGAGTTCCCACTCTGCTGTGGCATAATGGCTTCATTTTGACGATGGCATCCCATGGAGTCTTTACTGCCTAAGGAAACACTAGTTTCTGTCTTGGTCACACACCTGCCCTCACCAACGGTAGCCATGCTCTACGTTCTGCAGCTGCACGCAAGATGATTTGACTGAGCAAGGTTAGAGTACTCCAAGTTGCCAATGCTTCCTATAATGAAACACATACTATTTTTTATAAACTACTGTTGAATCTGCTGCCAGAATAAAGGAATCCAGGTCACCTGTGCCAGCTTAAACCATATCCTTTCTCTCCCAACCCACAGCCTCCTATGTTCCTTACAGGGAAAATCATATACAAGCTATAGGAGACTGTAGAAAACTTCCCTTCTTAAGTAAGATGACTGCCAGTGAGTGACCTAATGGTGAACAATTCAGGATGATTTTGATTCATAGAATGTAATAGAAATAGAGTTGTTTCATATAACCTTTCAGTCTTCAATGCTGTAGTTAGGTCCTCTATTAATAGAGCTGTCAGAAATGAGTACTCATGCCTGAATTGACATCAGGTTCAGAAAGTTTAGTGAGTGAATTTAGCGCTGGCTTAACTGACATTGTGAACAAAGCCCACCTTTTATTCCTGAAAGAGAAATACCATCCACAGTAGTGTTACTTCCCATCAACATGCTTGAATTCCAATCTGGGTGACTGTCTCTTAGCATAATAAGTTTACAAAATGCACTTGCACATGATAGCCTCCTATGTTTAAATGGACAGATTGTTTTTTAAGATAGAATGAACCTGACTGAAAAAATACAAAATACATTTAGGAATTAGAGTCAACCTACAAAGGAGAAAGACTTTCACAAAGACTTTCTTTGGCTAAGAACACCATTTATGAGATGAGTTTCAGTAATAGTAGCATACACTGTGGGATGTCTTATACCATCCTAGTTTAATCATTGAAGGGGACACAGATTTAACCAGAACTGCAAGAATATCTGGGAAGAGCATTTGAATTAGTTGTATTAGCACAGTAATGAAACTCAAGACTACACCAGGCCTTCCAAATTGCAGCACGGGAAATGACTTTAGCATTGCCAACTAAAACCATTTCTCTTATAGAATAGTTCTCTCTTCTTCATCACAAGCCAAGTTTGGTGTTCACAAACAAAATAAACCCCTTGTAGTATAAAAAAAATAGAGACACCTGTTTTTCTAAAGGATTTTAACATTTTGCCAAACTGATACAGGATAAATCCCTTTGTAGTGACTTCTTTCTGCAGTGAGTTTCCTACTTTCTGTCACTGGTAATAACGATTCATCCAATTAGCCAGAAATTGCATTTCCTTGAGAATTAAAATGTAAACTCAAGAATCCAATAGGACGCTCAAAGCCTATGGCAGAGGAGCAGAGCAGGCCATACCTTTTATTTTAGTCTCACCTGTTTATCACAGTATATTTTTCACAGTCAACACATGAATACACAGGCAATTTGCATTTTTGTCAGTCCTTCCCTGACCATTTACTTAATTCTTTGGGATAAACTATCTTAATTTTTAGCTCTTCCTCTCAGCGGTGCCTGTCCTCAAACTTGCAGTCATCTGCCAAAAGCTCCTTTTCTGAAGGCTTTTTCTGGAGATCCAAAATCAAGCCTACGTCCTTCAGGGATAAACTAACACAGGAGAGCCCCTTTACCTCACAAGCACAATAAAGGATTTGACTTAGGCCTTTTATACTTCTTTCTCTTTCCTGGGCACATCTTCAGTGCAGCAGTGTGCTCCCCCTCACACAAGCATCCCCATCACGCCCACAGACAAAAATCTCCTACGTTTTGCAGCAATTCTGCATGAGCAACTTTCATCCTGCAAATGTTCTCTTTAGCTGCTCTTTTTAGCCTCTCCTGCTGGGTTGGGGAGCTGACTGCAGTCTAAGGGCAGGAAGGACTTTGAGGAGGGACAAAATGCCCAGATAGCTTTTGTTACTTACTGCCCTGTATCTGAGAATAGCCTTGTGCAGCGTGGTAACGGAGGGAAGACGTGCCTCTCGGGGAGCAGCCAGCTGTCCCTCAGGAGAAGCCCCTCTGACCCTCAGTGAGGTGCCAAACAGAGTCAGCCAAGAAGGCAGCCAGCAGTACAACTACCGTGCCGTGGAGGGGCGGCGAGCTACGCCCCTCCTGAGGAAAGTCCTCCTCAGCAGCAGCAGGAGCAGCAACTCTCTCCCTGCTTACAGGCTAAGG